CCCTGCAGTTCGGTGAGGACACCTTCAACCGGGCCAAGCTGCTCAACGTGGGGTTCATGGAGGCACTCAAGGACGACGAGGAGTATGACTGCTTCATTTTCAGCGACGTGGACCTCATCCCCATGGACGATCGCAACCTCTACCGCTGCTACGAGCAGCCGCGGCACTTTGCCGTTGGCATGGACAAGTTTGGGTTCAGGTGGGTGCCCTGGGGAGCTGGGGTGGTTTTGCCCACTCAGGGCTGGGGTGTCTCACTGGGATGACGTTGGGGCCACCAACCTTGATCGTCACCTGGGGCAGGCCTGAGGTCACTGGCTTGAATTGTGGACCTGGGATGGGAGAGGGTGCAGAGTTCTGGGTAGGAGTGTGACACAGGAAACTGCTGGTGCTTGTACCTGGGGGTCCCCATGGAGCTGACCTCCATCCTTGCCTGTCCCCGGGGCTGACCTGTTTGCTGTCAACCTGCAGGCTGCCCTATGCTGGCTACTTCGGTGGTGTCTCTGGGCTAAGCAAGTCCCAGTTCCTGAAGATCAATGGCTTTCCCAATGAGTACTGGGGCTGGGGAGGAGAGGATGATGACATCTTTAACCGGTAGGTGTCAACCCCTTGCCAGCACCGACTGGTTAGGGTGTACCAGGGCTCCCCACCAAGGTTCCTCGTTTTGTGGGGAATGTGTATGGGCTGTGCTACATGTCAGGGAGGCATTGAATTACCCTCCACTTTTAGGGTTGATGACCCTCATGGATGGAACTGGCCTCTCCCAGGGTGTTGGGGGGCTGTGGGGCACCCCTCCACCTTCTTTGTGGCTGAACCTGCCCCAGCACAGTATGAGGTGCACCAGTGGGGTGGTGTGCCTGCGAGCTCTGCTCCAGACCAGGGCTAGCATGCTAAATTTGGATGCATCCAGGGCTGAGATTAAAAACTTGGAAGCGTCTCAGTGGTGGCCGTGCAGCGGCCACACAGTCATTCCTGCCAGCAGCCGGCAGGCAGCAGCACAGCCATGTGCAGAGCCGAGATGATTCCCCCCACACACCCCCTGCGTTGGATGCCAGAGCTGGGCAGTGGCCACCTCATCTCCCTGGGGCTGCCCAGGGGAGCTGTGTGCAGCCAGTGGTGCATAACCAGCCTGTAATGGCCAGACGAGCAAAACACCCTGTGGGTGCCGTGGACACGCGGCACGGTTGTGATTTCCACACAAGGTGGGCTCAGGGTGGGGGACAAACAGCGTGTGGAGCCCTGGAAGAGATTCAGGCAGCCCTTGATGTGAGAGGAGGACTCCAAGGGAAGGGCTAGGCAGCGGCATTCGGGGAATGTAAAGGGCAGGGGCCGCAGAGGGAGGAAGGGATGGATGGCTGCACAGGGATCGCTGCCTGTGTGCAGCATGGGCTGACCACAGCTACTGGGAGTGGTGCTTTGGGCACGGTCTGCCACGGGGCATGTGGCACCCTTGGTCGGGACACTGGCCTGGGTGGGGCCTGGCTTTGCTCATCTTGGCTTGGCACAGCTTTGTTTAACCAGGGACAGGTTTATTTGGCTTGGAGGTCTCTGGGCTGGGGAATGTCCCACCCTGCTGCCCACACACTGATTCCCCCCATGCTCCCGGCCCTCAGCATCTCCCTGAACGGCATGAAGGTGTCGAGGCCCGACATCCGCATTGGGAGGTACCGCATGATTAAGCATGAACGTGACAAACACAACGAACCCAACCCGCAGAGGTGAGTGAGCCACAGGGGCTGGGGCAGTTGGGACGCTGGGCAATCACTGGGCTCCTCTGCTCTGCTCACCCCCGCAGAGGTCTGGCACTGCTGGCACTATGGCAAGACATTCCCCCATCCTCATCCTGCTCCTCTCTCCACCAGATTCACCAAGATCCAGAACACCAAAATGACGATGAAGCGGGACGGGATCAGCTCGCTGCAGTACCGGCTGGTGGAGATCTCACGCCAGCCCATGTACACCAACATCACGGTGGAGATCGGCAGGCCACCGCCCCGCCTGGCCCGCGGCTAGTGCTGGTGTCACTGGGAGCTCCTGTGCCCGGGCTGGCTGGGCACAGCGGGTTTTGCCCCAGCTGAAGAGTCAGGACTGGACAGGGATGTTTTCTGCCTACTCTGCTGCCTTCTGGAGACGGCTGCCCCCCAGCCGGCCCCTCAGTCCCCAGGATTTCTGTCCCCCCCACCCCCACGAGTGTGTTTGCAGGACCCCTGCCCCATACGTGGTGTGTTGGCGGACGAGCCCGGCTGCCCTGTGAGCAGCTCCCGGCACAGAGGGAGGGGGCAGCCCCAGGCCTGGCAAGGAGCCCCCAGCCTATGCCAGCTCCTGCCTGCACCGTGGGTGGGGAGGGTGAGATCCCACTGCTCTGTGAGAGCTGGGGATCCCCACCAGCGCTGTGAGAAGCGGGGTGCAGGCTTCCCCCTTTGCCAGCGCTGGAGCCTCTGCTGCCCCAGCTGGGGATGGGAGCAGCCCAGGCCCCCCAAACAAGCAGGCAGGATCAGGGCAAGGTTGCTGCCCTGGCCGGGCGTTGCCCACGCTGCTGGACATGCAGACGTGGCTCGCTGTCTTCCTCTGCTTTAGTCTGGTGCTTAGAGCCGGGCCCTGTCTCAGCTCTGCCAAACAGAGACCTCTGGTTAGCAAATGTCCCTCGCTGTGCCTCAGTTTCCCCAGGGCTGGGGGGATGGTGGCTGTATCCCATCCCCCTTCTCCAAAGGCAGGTGCTGTGTGTGTGTGTGCAGCTCCTGCCTGCACCTGCTCTCACCTGCCCTCCCCGCTTTGGCGGGGGGAATAGGGCTCATTTGAATCCCACAGCCCCTCTTGTTGGGGGCTGGTGCAGCCTCCCTCTAGCAGGGAGGGGATCTTCCCCCTTGGAATCTCCCCTTGTCTGCCTTATCCCTTTCAGGCTAGGGGCAGGGGGGCTGCAGGAAGGAGCAGCTGGGGCATGCAGGGCAGGAGCCCTGTGCCCCTCCATGGGACTGGGAGCCCCGGCATCCTTGACACCCCACGGGGCGCTGGGAGCAGTGGGGTTGGGAGCAGGACAGCATGCCAGGGCTGGGGGGCACCGGCAACTTTTGTACATTTGAATGTCTGACCCTTTTTTCAGCGTACGTTGAATGCAGCGTTCGGTCGTAGAGACCGGGGGTTTTGTATTTAATAAAAGTTTGAAAAGTTGGCGGGGTTTG